CTAAGGGGGGTGGGGAAATATTCTGCATTGTACTTTAAATTCTTCTGCAAGCCACGAAAATGAAATTTACCTTCATAAATTGGCAATAAAAGAAGTTTTGAAGCCCAGCGTGGTGGCCCTTGCCTGTAATCTCAGCCGTTAGGTAGTAAAGGCGGGGAAGACCAGGAGTTCACGGCCAGCCTGGGCTACCAGAGGCCCAGTCTCAAAATAAAAGACCATGAGAGACAGCACAGTGGTTAGGGACAACGTTGGGGAGTCAGTTCTCTCTTCCCGCTCTGTAGGATCCTGAGAGCGAACTCAGGTCACCAGGTATGGCTGCAAGTGACTTTACCCAACGAGCCATTTCACCGGCCGCGCGCGCGCGCGCGCGCGCGCGCGTGTGTGTGTGTGTGTGTGTGTGTGTGTGTGTGCGTGTGTGTGGTGTGTGTGTGTGTGTGTGGTATATATGTTCCTGTGTGTACACACGTGTGTGTATGTATGTGGAGGCCAGAGGTCAACATTGTCTTCCTTAATCACTCCCCACCTTATGTTTTGAGAGAGGGACTCTCCCTGAACCCAGAGATCACCCATTATGTGGATTGTCTGGACAGTGAGTCCCAGGGACCCTCTGGTACCCACCTTCTCAGCACAGGGATCACAGGACTCACGGAGCCCTGCTTTTTACTGGGTGTCCTGGATCTGATCTCGGGCCTTCCTGGTTTTGCAGCATGTACTTTACTGGCTTAATCATCTCTTTGGCCCCCTCATCTCCTCATCTTTTTTTTTTCCTCTTCACGACAGGGCTTCTCTGTGTATCCCTGGCTGTCCTGGACCTCACTCTATAAAGCAGGCTGCCCTTGAACTCAGAGATCTGCTGGCTCTACCTCCTGAGTGCCGTGATTAAAGTCGTTTGCCACTGCTTCCCGGCCTCATCTCAATTTTTTTTAAAGGGAAAACTGTTTCTGCTTGAGATCCATGGTGTCCGGGTGGGCCTCTCCATTGCCCTCACCTTGATCTTGGTCAACTTACTACCTGGGTCTCATGGCCTTCATCTGTGAGTGGGGCCCCAACAGCACCTATCATGTGTGTGGTTAGCATGTGAAGAACTTAGGCCAGGATCAGCACTAGCTATGCTCATATTATTACAAACAGAAGGACTTTTATCACAGACGCCTCCCTTCAGGAGCTTGCAAATGTCTAGGGGTCCTTCTTCCCCGGACTAATCAGGAGAAGCTTTGTGAACGTGACTCTCAAATCTTCCCACTCAAGAACCCGCAAACTGATTCTTGTGAAAGCCTACCCCCGACTCCCATCCCCCAGGGAGCAGAAATCTCTCCTAGAAGGGTCCCAGAAGGGTGACTAGGGACAGTTCCACAGCCTGCTCCCTCTGCCTTGTGCAGCGGCACTGAGGAGGCCGAGGCTGCCCTGCGCCCCCTGGTGGCACCTGCGAGCATAGCCAGGACTAAAGACGCCACGCACAAGCTGCCAGCCACTCTTGCTGGGAGCCCCAAAGGCTGCTTTCAAATCATAATTGTTATGAAATAGGTAGCTGTTATTCAGCTAGATGAGAGGATGTATGCATATTCCTTTTAGTCCCGCGAAGTAGTGATTATTTCTCTTTTACAGCGGAGGGCACTGATACCTGGAAAGGGCAACTAAGTGGCCGGAGATCTCCCAGCAGGTAAGAAGAACAGCGGGGGATGGGGTGGGGGTGGGGGTCTGGGGCTACATCTATAAGCTCCACCTTCCAGTCCAGCATGCTATCCTGTTTAGAAGACATGAGAGTGGTCCCAGAAGCATCTGAAGCCTCCATTAAGGGTCAATACTGGCCGGGGCTTTCAAAGCAGTTGCGCCCCCACAAAGGCTGTCCTACCTCCAGCTTCAGACCTGGGCCCCTTGCCCGGGCCTCCAAGACATGGAGGTGGGGCCTTGGGGCTACTTCTTATAGCCATAGTAGGCCTTGTATCAATAACTTCTCTTTCTCTTTTGCCGACGCACAATGCAGCCTACTGTGTGCAGGGAACATCATTGGTACATCACGAAAAATAAAAACAGAGGCCAACTTTGGCCACCCAGGGCCCTCGTTCCTCCTCAACTAGAAGAGGCCCCCCCTCGACGGAGTGTCATGGCACAGGGTTTGGGGACACTTCTGGCAAGTTTTGTACAGCTTCTCCACTGTGTTACCTTGCACGTGGGAGGGAAGTGGCCAATCCCAGTTGAGGGCCAAAGTTGAGGCTGCCTGGGCTACCTGGGGGGTGGGGGTGGGGGGCGGCAGCAACAGGACACCCCTAACTGCAGGTGGCTGGGAAAGGCAACGTCCTGAGACTTCACACAGGAAGGGGCCCAGGGGAGTTATGGGAGATTCCCTGAAAGGGCTGACCCTAATTCCAGAGCAGATGTTAAGACTGGAGAAATTGGATGACGAGGAAAGACAGAAGGCAGCTATAAGCATACATGAGTCATGAAAGAGAATATAAATCTAATTTTCATCTAGTTGCAACTCTGTTATAGGTTTTCTTTCTTTTTTTTTTTTGTGGTGGATAAGTGAATAAAAAATGTAATTGAGAGTGAATACACAAAACCCTAAGGAAGTCCCCATGGCCTCAGAATGGCCATTCTAAGTACAGAGATGTTCACTGAGATGAAGGAGCCTGGGACCAACCGGACCAGGGTTAGAGTGGCTGCCTTACGCTAGCTGTGGGATGCTTTTATTTGTGAGTGAATTAGAATAAAGGAACTTAGCTTTTTTAAAGTAGAGAGAGATTCCAGACTGAAGGACTGGATCAGGGCTGGGTAGAAAGGAGGAAAAATGCTTGTTACCCCCCTGTGCCCAGCATGAATTAGCAAGCAACTTTTAGAGAAAAGTCTCTGATATCCCACTGAGGGAGAAGGAGCCTTCAGGGTCTACTGAGCTCTCAGGCACAGTGCCCTTCGAGGGTCTGAGCAGGAGATGTGAGTCTTGGTACCCATGTGCCCCCGGTGTTTCCTGGCAGCCTTTAAATATCCAAATACCTGTTTGTCTTTCCAGTCAGATGTCTGTGTGTGTGTGTGTGTGTGTGTGTGTGTGTGTGTGTGTGTCTGGAGGTGTGTTTGGGGTTTTTAGTCTCGTGGGCTTTGGTCTGTGGGTGTTTTTCTAGGTGGGTGTCTGTTTACACACAGGGTGTTTCAGGAAAGGTCATCTTGCACCTGTGTGTCTCTGTTGTCTATTTTACTTGTATATTCCTTTTGCAGGTATGTGTAACTGTCCAGGGGTGTGGAGAGCTGTGTGTGTTTGCGGTCTAGAATGGGTGGAGATGGCTGGGTGTGATCAGCCTTTACCCTTGCTCATGCTGTTCCAGGCCAGGCTAAAAATAACCCATTTACCTTTGCCCACAGAAGCCGAAGTCCTGCCTGGGGAGTTCACTCCACCCATATCCACCCTCCTGGCCCTGGGTGGCCAGCCGTGATGTGGGGCGTCGCCTATATCCATTGCCTCCTATAGATAGATCTCCAGTCTTCTTCGGTATGTGGAGCTGGGAGAAAGGAGGTGTCCCAAAGTCCTGCTTTCTTTGCCCCCTCCCCCAGGGGGTCCTCTTGCTTCTCTGCCCTCACACTACCAACCTTCTAGCCAGCCACTGTGCCTCCCAAACCCTTTTTTCTCCAATCTAGGAACAACTTGGGACTGCTTGGCTCTGTTGATGTCCTAACTACTATCACCTTCCCCCCCCCCCCACTTCCCACCCTCCTACCAACTTCAGAGCCTGCCGAGCCTCTACTCCCTTCATGCAGAAGCATGCTGCCTCCGTATTTGAGGACTGTTCCAGATCTGCAATGGGGAAAAGCTTATGTGGTCAGCTGATCTGGGCTAAGTGGTAGGTAGGGAGGCTCTTGCTATCTGCCAGTGCCTGCCCCCCCCCCCCCAGCTCTGTCTCTGTCTCTCTTTCTTTGAGACAAGGTCTCACTATGTAGCCCTGGCTTCAAAACTCACAGAGATCCACCTGCTTCTGCCTCCTGAATGCTGGGGTTAAAGGCGTGCGCCACCATGCTCAGCTACAGGGCTTTTTCAGTCTCATCCCCCCCCCCCCATCCCCTTCACTCCCTCACTCAAAAGTGTCATCCTGGACAAATGGCTTTACTCCTCTCTAAAAATGAGTGTATATGGTATTTACTAGAGACTTGTGGGGTTAGCTGAAATAAAGCCCATCCATGGACTGCCACACTGAAGTTCATGTCAGCGGATGCACAGACATCCTCCAAGCTTCACCTGGCCGCACAAGCTTGTGGGCCCACCTTCGGGTGATCAGGACTTCCTGCAAGAATCTTGGGAACCCCCACGCTCCTTCGTCCTCTGCGTCTGTTCCTCGTTCCGTTTTGAGACAGTTAACACCACTATTCCCCATTTCACAGAGGACAGTGATGGAAACAACTGAACAAGCTCCTTCAAGGTCACGCGCAGAAGGAGCAGAACCAAGTTTACACTGAGCCAAAGGCAGCAGCAGGCCCTTCTCCATACACTCCCCTTTATCGCTTGGCTGGTTCACCACATCCTCACTCTGATGAGCCATCCTTCCGGATCCCATGTAAAGAGTTCTGTCCTAGGTCATGTAGACAAATAGAACCAATCACGATCCTAACTCATACCCAAATTCCCACAACTGGAACTCCCCACCCACAACCCCGGCTCCACCAGGATTTGGGTGTTTGAGATTTTTCTTAAAGCCCCCTTACCCCACCTTCTGAGACAAAATCAAAAGCGAAAGCTGACTTATACCCAAGCTAAGAAGGGCACGAAAGCTTATTTTCTTTATTTTTGGAAAGAAGATTCGGTGGACTCGGCTTTTCAGCGGACTGGTTTTTCTGTGCTCTGAATCCTACGTTCTTCGAAGGTCCCCTCTGATAGGCCCCAGCTCGGCCGCTCCTGCCCAGCGGAGGAGAACCCCCTTGAAGGGCCCCGTGGGCCCCGCCCCCGTCCTCCACGCCCCGCCCCATAGCGCGTGAGGCCCCGCCCCGGCCGGCTGACTCTAGGGCGAGCGCGCGGCGGCGCTGGGCATTGTGGCCGGCGGCAGGGAGGGCGAGGGCGCCGAGCCGCGGGGAGCGGCAGGGCGCGGAGAAGAGCGCGCATCCCACTCGGACAGACTTCGCGGCGCGGCCGCTGCGAGCGCCGCTGAGCGCACTCCGCTGGGATCGCGCAACTTCGGAGCAGGGCGCGGACGGCGCTCGCAGCGGGGGATCGCGGAAAGGGCGCACTAGCGCCGGGATCCTCAGCGGCGTCCGACTCCCGGAGCGCTCCGAGCAGCCGGGCGGCTTCCCGGCGCAGCGTGGCTGCCGCTGCGCCCACGGAGGGCACGGGCTGGCGCTGCCGGGCGCCTGCGAGGACGGCGAGGCGGCGAAGGCGAAGGCGAAGGCGGCGAGGCTGGGGCCCGGGAAAGAGCCCCGAGGGAGAGGCGCCCGGGCCGGGCGACAGGAGCATGAGGGCCCGGAGCGGGACGCGGGGTGCGTTGCTGCTGGCGCTGCTGTTCTGCTGGGACCCGACACTGAGCCTAGCAGGTAGGAGCGAGAGGGAGTGGGACGCGGGGATGTGGACCTGGAGAGTCCCAGCGTCCAACTGCAAGTTCGGGTGGTTCTTAGGGAGTCGCTACGCTCCGGGAACGCGGTGGACGCGCCCAAGTTAAAAGGCAGCTTCGGTGCCCGGGAGAGGGGGGCGACGCTTTGCCACCTGGGGTGCGGTGCCACGTAAGCCCGAAGCTCCCTGCTCCTGCCTCCAAGGGATAGTTGCTTGCCCATGGAACGGGATCTGATTCACTTCCAGGTGACCCCCACCCGATTGCTACCGAAACACTGTGGCTACCTGGGCGGAATGTGTGTTCCGTGCTGTTCGCCTGTAACTTAAGTCTGAGTCTCGGCTCCTGCGGGCTCCCGCGGGCTCCCACGGGCAACACGCGCAGCGTTCTGAGGGTCAGAGGGAGAGAGCTGGAGGCTGCGGAGCCCTGAAAGCGCTTGTTCCCCTTCGCCTTTGGGGAGCGGAGGCCCGAAGGCTTTAGCTATTGAAGGGGGAGGGGCCGAGTTCTGCACACCCTGCTCTCCCGAGGTGCGGCGCCGGAGGGTTTGGAAGGGTTTCGTGGTTGGTTGGTGGATTGTTTCTGGGTGAATGTTGGCAGAAGGTGGAGGGACGTAATGTCCCCTGCCGACTTCCCCAATTTTAAGTGGGTTATTGGCCTTCTCACCGTCTGGGGGAATAGACCAGGTGAGCTCGCCTCTGCATCGCACCTGGACGCAGCAAGATTCCCTAATAGGGTTCGGTGGACTCCCAAGTTTATGAAGTCCCCTAATCCTCCTCTCCCGCCGCGAACGTGGAAGTGTCTTGCTGGCCCTGTAGGAGCTGTGCTGGGCGTTGCAAAGTGGGCTGCATCTTCCTTGGAAGGAAAAGTACACGCTCGCGCTAGCCTTTCTGGTACCCAAGCAGGTGAACTGCCGGCAGGGTGCCTTGACTCCCGAAGCTGGGTGGGGGGTGGCGGGGGATGGAGGGGCATCCTGTAGAAAGGCCTCTCTAAGCAAAGGCTTAGGATGGGGCAAGAAAACTAGCGCTTTCAGCTCTCTCTCCACCCCACCTTCCTCAGTGATGCTGACATCCACCTTCCCCTCCTCCCCACCTCTCTTTCTTAAAGAGCTAAAGGTCCCTCCTCTGGAATTAATGATTCCCACGGCCAGAGCTTGCTTTTAGCACATCCCCCCACTTTTTATTTTATTTTTCTCCAAGCCTAGTGCTGTAAAGTTACAACACTCAATCATTTGATCCAAGTTAATTATGATTTGGGCAGACTCGGGTATTTAAAGCAGTGTTTTGAAGTTGGAAGGTAATGATGGGGAAGGGGGCGGGGGAGGGGGGCGGGAGGAGGCAAGCTAAATGACCAGCCTTGTTTTAAAGGGTGCAGTTAGATGTGGGAGGTGCTGGATTGGGTGTTAGTTTCTGTTTAAGGCCGTCTGGGGGTGATTGAAGGGTAGAGTGAAGTCTTTGGAAGTGGCCCATGGGTCGGGCTGCATCTTGGGAATCGGGAATAGATACCAAGGTTACTGAGGTTGGGGCTCCATTTGGAGAAAAATGGGACTGGTGGGCCTGAGTGGGTGGGCTGGGCCAGGAATGCTGGAGATGGCCTGCTTTTTCTGCTTAACAAAGCATTCGGCCCCCGTCTTCCCCGGAAGAAACCCCAGGCCCAGGGCTTTGATGGATTTGGGCACGAACGGTGCCCAGTCAGAAATGGCCTCTCACACCCAGCTTTGAGTGAGCAGAAGCCGTGTTGGAATTGTGCTCATTGCATAGCCCGGCGGGGGTCTCCTGCCCACCAGCCTGGAGAAGGGCCAGCTGCTGGGGTCCGCCTGCAGCTTTCCTTTGCCCAGAATATGCTGCCCTTAGGAGCTTACCTTCTGGGAGGGAGGACACTCCTCTTCTTCCCCACACAGCCTGGTTTCCCCATTGCCTCAGGCACCAGGCATCTTTCCACCAGAAGGCTCGGAGTTTTTCCAGTGCCTCCCTCCTGATCCCATTTCACGGATGAGGAAAAGCAAGGCCAGAACGTAGGTTTTTTTTTTTTTTCCCCTTATCTTGTCTTCGCTTCATGTTTGATTTTGGACTAGTATGCTGGGCTCCTTTGTTAGCTAGACCAGCTTCAACTACAGGGGCTTCCTTCCACACTCTTCCACCTGGCTGCGATGAGATGTCTGTCGCTGAGGTAGCAGAGTACAGGGACAACGGCTCCAAAGTACCAGGCACTTCCCTCCACTCTCCTGAGAATAGGACAGTCAACTCCTTGAGAGTGCAGAGAGTTTTTTTTTTTCTTTCTCTTTTTAAAGCATTAAGTTTGATGATGGAAGAATCAAAACCAGACTCCCAGAACCTCAGACCCTGGGAAGACGCCAGCCAGCAAGTGACTGGAGCTGGGAGAGGCCACTTCAAAAGCACTGGCTGGCCCTTGGAGTCTCCCTTCTACCCTATCCCCACCCCACCCCACCCCACCCCACTCTACTCCTTCCAGCCCTTCCCAGGCCTCTGGCTGGGATGGTTGAGAAGGAGCCCAGAGCTCTTGATCGGTCTTTTAAAGGAGCAATTAAAATGGGAGTTTTCCCGGTGTCTGAGCTGCGGCGGCCGCCGCTTGTGTGGCTGGTGTTACCCCGAGCTCCCTCCCTGCGCACCACAGCGAGGCACCCATCCTGCTTAAACAAATGGAAAAATCAAGCGTCTTAATGGGCTTTCTCATTAAAGGGGATGTACCACGCAGGGGAGGAATGTCTCCTGGAATCTCTCTGCTCTGGTCCACCCCCTCCCCCCACACAATGGGGAATTCCATAGGACCTCACAGTTCCCTCCGTTTTTTGTTTTTGTTTTTTAACTGCTGGAGCTTTTGAGAAAGGCCTTTGGAGTTGCCCAGGGCCACAGTGGAGCTCAGTAGAATCAGGGTTTTGAACTCAGAGCCCAAGGGCCTGCCTCACCTAGTGCTTCTTCAGGCTCCTTCACCTTTCCATCCTCCCCCTCAGGCTGGACAGCTTCCCTGGGGGGTCAGGATGCTGAATGAAACCGAGGCCTCATCTTAAAGTTGGATCACTTTGACAGATTAGCTTAGATGGGACGTGTACCTGGAATGGGGAGCGTGAACCCCGCTCAACAGGACACAGCTGGACAAAGGACCAGGGATGAGGCACCGAGAGAAGCAAGTACAGGTCTTAGCAGAACATAGGTCATCGGCTGAGCTCCCTGGCCTACAAATGGCCACATCCATTTGTAGAGTTGGGGACACTTCAGGAACCCGTTTTAATCCTTTGGTTATGGAATCTTTAGGTGAAAGGTACTAGGATGCCATTCCTGTCTGTAGGGGCTAGGATGAGGTTTGGGCCCCCAACATCCTCTCCCTGAATCACCCTGATGTATAGGGTCGCTACGGGCTGCCCTGGACCTTGGGGGACAAGCAGGGTGACCTGTAGCCCTTCCATCCCAGGTCCTTGGACAGCAAGGTTGGTGTTTCTGAGTGAACAGTACTCAGCCCTCCTCTGGGCTGGCCGGCCACCGTAGTATCCTGGGGCATCAGCAGGGTTTTGGGTAGAAAGGAAACAGATTGGAGCTCTGAGGTCTACAGGAAAGAGCAAGGGGTTTGGGTACCAGGCTGCGACTTGAGGTTGGTGGCCATGAGCCCACCAGAGAAACTGCTTGCTGCCTAGGCAGATGGCCCCCAAGGGGGGAAGGGAGGGGAAAGGCTGCTGCCAGGCCTGAGCTGGCACTCCAACTGGCATCCTTCTCCAACGCCTCTCCACCAGCTTCCTAAACAGCTTCCACAAATGGAGTCATTAAAGCTGTGAAGCCAGAATGAACCCAAACAAGTGCGGGGCTGTGCTTTTCCCCCTCTCTTTTAAAGGGAATTTAAAAGGCCGTCATGAGAATCATTCAGGGAGAAGCATGTGTCCGAAGGCACGAGGAACCCTGCTCCCCTCCCGATTGGCTGGGTCCTGAAGTCTGGGCTGGAGCGCCACCTCCTGCCTGCCCTTTCGGAACCTGTGCTCTGGCTCGGCGCCTGGGGGATTTTCCCCCGCGACCTGGGCTGTTTTGGTGAGCTAGGGCAACAAGTGAGCATTCCCCCCCCCCCCCCCCCCCCCAAAAAAAAGGCATTTGGGAGAAGGCTGGCACTCTGAAGCCGGCTGCCGGCTGTTCCCAGGGAGTTAGTTGACAGGCCAAATCTGGTTCGTAGGATCTGGAGGCTGAGGATCGGAACTCCGCTCGCTGCAGCCCGCGGGGCAGACAAGCCCAGGCTGAGCTCCTTAAAGCCACAGGTCCCCACCCCCCACGCGCGCCCTTCCTCTGGCTCCTGGTCTTCCCGGGGCTAATGGCAGGGAAAACATTTGCTGAAGTGCAGGCATAAATCAGCTGCCTACCCCCCCCCTCTCTCTTTGTTTCCTTTTCCCTCCCAAAGCTCCGGGCTGCTGGGAGAGCTCCTATTTGCCCCCTTTCCTACAAAGCCGCCTGATTAGCGTCTCCGAACTTGGGGGGGGGGGGTTGGATTCTGAACAGTCACCTGGTGTTGCTAAGTACCAACCACACTGCACCAGAACCCTCCTGTTCCCAGTGTCCACCTCGCTTGCACCTTTCTCCCCAGGCAATTTAAATTGGTCTGGGTCTGCCCAGTCCTGGGAGCTCAAAGGTGCCGCTTAACCTTTGAGCACTGTGTCCCCCTCCTTCCTGGCGCGCCCCTCTTTTCTCAGCTCCCTCAAACTGCCCCTAGCGCATCGCAACTTCCCCAGTTCCAGCAAGGCGGGCCTGTGGGTGTGAGATTGTGCGCTGAGGAGTGTTTGCGAGAATGTGCCGTGGGAAGGTGGCAGGTGGAACCGTGTTTTGGAGAGGGGAGGGGAAGGTGAGTGTCATGTCGCTCTTAGGTGCGTTGTGTATGTGTGTGTGTGTGTGTGTGTCTGTGTGTGTGGAGGTGAAGTGTGCAGGAGGACCAGAGTGTGCTGTGGTTTCCACCTTTTGTATAGGAGGGTGGTGTGTGTGTGTGTGTGTGTGTGTGTGT